GAAAATAAAGAAGGTTATACACAGAGGATAAGAGGAGGCAGTTTGCCATTAAATTGTGTAAGAAGTGAGCAATTTCACTTCTTTGTTTTTCCTGGATCCTTGTTCATGAAATTTAATGCATTTTAAATACCTATTGAATCTACATGAGTTGAGTTTTTAAAAACGTGCAGACTATTGTTAGTGGAAAAATGATTCAGGTGACAAGAATAATTAAAGCTAGAAAAAGGGATGTTTCCAGTGGTAGAGACAGAAATATTAAAACATTTTTAGTATACACAAAAGGGCTGATGTCTGACATGGTGGTTAAGTCAGTTGGGCCACATGGCCAACTGCACCGTTTGATTCTTTTCTTTTTTTTTTTATGGAGAGATTTTCACTATAGGGCGCGTGCGCTCACCAGACAGAGAGAGAGACGTAAAGACAGAAAGCGAGAAATCACCCCCCAGGGGGGATGGTCACGCCGCAATCCCTTCTCCTCCATTGTCCTCTTGAGATCTTGGGCACGCATGCACACGCGCCAGGTGTGAGTTTTAAGCCACCAGGTCCGGGACGCGAACCGCGGTCGACTACGTGGGAGTCCAGCGACATAGCCATTATGCTAACTGCTGGTTCCCTGCACCATTTGATTCTTAGAGCTAGCAGCTTGAAAAACACAGCAGGTGCATGCACATGGATGACTAAAATCCTGAAAGGAGGGAGAAATAGAGGAGAAGGGATTACACTGTGACTTTCTCTGGGGGGTGCTTTCTCCCTCACTCTCTCCCCTTCTCTCTCTTACTATCACATGCACATGAGTGCATGTCCCCTTTGGGTACTTAAAATAAATACATAAATATTTAAAATGAGAAAAGAGAAAAGTACACATAATTTTATGATTTTTTTCTAGTATACAATAATAGCTTTTTTCTTTTTGGCCTGGCAAAGTACCTTTGATTTAGCATTTGCTGTTTCTCTGCATTTTAGTTCAGATTATAATCAAGAGAATTACTCCTTCAAAACTGCAAAGATTCTTTAAGAGAGGAAACAAAGCAGAGTCGTGTCAAAGAAAAAGATTTAACGACACTTTATAGCACACTTGGGCTAGCTCTGTGACATGGTGGTTAGAGAAGATGGAGCCAACATGGCCAACCACAGGATTGGGATCTTGGCCTTGAAGCTTGAAAAACATGTATCGCTTATGTGTGAATGCCCAAAATCTTACAGTGGAGAATTAGAGGAGAAAGGATTGTAGCATGACCACATCCCATTGGCGGTTACTTTCTCCCTCTCCCTCTCTCTATCACAAGAGCATAAGCCCTCTGGCAAATTTTTTAAATATAGTATATTGTTTACTTGTTTAAAAAGAAAATAAATCAATAGATGTATTTCACCCCACAAAGGCAAAAAGGATATACTAAAAGGAAAAGGAAAGGGGAGAGAAAAATAACTGCTACTTGAGCACATCTTTTTTGCACATTTTTAGGGGGATAATTGATTAGTTGAAAATCAGTAAAGAGATCAGCCTGGACCCACTCTCCATTACTAGGCTGACTAGAAGTACAAACAAAGTTGCATGGCAGCCCTTTTCACTGTATTGTCTGTCAGTGTCTTTCTATTAATACCCCATTCTTGGCTGAACCATGTCTACCGTATTTCACTTATTAGAAATCACAGTACATGTGCTGCTTTTCTCTAAATTCTTTTCCTCTAAATCCTCACATCTGAGCTCCTATGTGGGGTGCTCAAGATGGCATTTTTACTACAAATAGCTATACTCATTTATTCTGATATGAATTTAAGATATTAAACATTAATATTCAGGGCCAGCAGGTGGCATGGAGGCTAAGGTAGTGGAACCCACATGGCCAGCTATGCTGTTTGTGTCCCAGACCTGGCAGCGTGAAAATCATCTCAGGTGTGTGTGCATGTGTGCCCAAAATTCTAAGAGGAGAATAAAGGAGAAAGAACTGCAGTGTGGCCATGCTCATGGGGGGTAGGGAGGTTCTCACTATTGTTCTCTGTCTCTCTGTCAAGCACACATGCCCTATAGCAAAAACTAAAAAGAATAAAAGTAAATATGCAAAATTTAAGTTTCCCTTTGGGCTTGCATTTTCTCACACTCTAATAAACTAGTAGTTGTGATGTCACTATAAATGAATTCTAATGAGCTGGCTCACATCAACAATAACTATTTTTAATATAAATTTTTCTTTTTACATTTTTGCCATAGGGTGTGTGCACTTACTGGAGAGAGACAGAGAGAGAGAGAGGGAAAGTTAAAATTCACCCTTTGGGGGGTTGGCCACATTGCAGTCCCTTCTCTGCTCTTCTCTTGGAATTTTGGGTATGCATGCACAGGAGCCCAGTATGCTTTTCAAGCTGTCAGGTCTGGGACTTCAACCATGATTGACCATTTTGGAGTCCAGCACCTTAACCACCACACCACTTACCAGCCTCTTGAGTAAATATTTTAAGAGGTTCCCTCAAATACCTGATTATTGCATCTATCCTGCAGTGAATTACCACAGGAACAAATTTTGACAAATACTGATATTTGCTGACTTCCTGCCAACAGGTATTATGAAGCAAAAACTACTTTTAGATAAAGATTATAACCTGAGGAAAAGCAGCATATAATGTGCATCATTTTAGAAATTAAAATCCCTTGAAATTGAATTTCTTTCAGTAATGTTTAAAGATTAAGTGTGTGCATGTTCATCTCTGAGTAAGGAAAAGCATTTTGCTACTCAATATTAGTTAACAGTGAAGATGAAATTTTGTCTAATTATTTCATAGTCATTGACCAAATCACATAAACTTTAAAATCTGTAAGGCAGATTGAAATAATCATTTATTATATCCTTTCATGATAAGAGACATTTGAAATAATCCTTTATTATGTCCTTTCAGGATAAGAGACATTTCCCTTTCAACTGCTTCTGATTTTTAAAATCAACACAACACAGCAACATTATGCCTTTTTTTAAAAATCAAGCTCTGGGGACCAGCAGTTGGTGTAATGGCTATGACGCCGGAATCCCATGTAGTCGACCTCGGGCGAGTCCCGAGTCCCGGACCTGGTGGCTTAAACTCGCCAGGAGCGTGTGCGGGCGTGCCCAAGATCCAGAGAGGAGAATGGAGAAGGAATTGCAGCCTGGCCATCCCCCCCGGGGGGTGATTTCTCTCTTTCTGGCAAGCGCTGCCCCAGTGTCCCATAGCAAAAACCTCTCCAAAAAAAATATCAAGCTTTGATCTTCTCACTTCTTTGGGAATAGCCATGAATCTGTACTTAAAAGAAAAAGACCTGTGAGTTGGTGGATCCATTTTCTTATTCATAAGCTCTATGGACTAGGCCTTGACTAGAGAGCGACTAACGTTTAAGTAATGAGATAGTTAACAGTTTAGATGCCTTACAAACTCATTCAGAGGCTTAGAAATGTACATCAATATAGTTCTCACATGCTTGAATTTATTCTACATTTACTTACGTGGCTGGACTTTTATTCATACTGATTAAATTAAAAATATTTTGCAGCAAGAACACAAAAGAATAGTCGGGACAGTAATCACTGGCAGCGAGGTCTCGCGTGAAAGTAAGACGCTATCGCCCTGACGTCATCGGTTGCCATGGTAGCGCCCGCCGCAGAGGAAAATAGGGGTGGTGCGTAGGGCTGATTGGGGCAGAGCGCGGATTCTGCAGAGAAAGACCGGTCTTCTCTCCGCAGGCCTGACTTCTACCAAAATGAGCGGCCTGGATGGGGGCAACACTCTCCATCTTGCTGAAGAATCCGACCTAACCCAGTGTCAGGGGCTCCGCGAGGAAACCGAGACGGCACAGGCGATGACGGACACAGGTGGGAGCTGTTTGGAGATCGCTGCGGAGGGAGGTGCACCCCAGGAAGCAGTGGACTGTGGCCCCGCATTCCAGGTGCGAGTCGTTGGGGGTCGCGACCGGTCAGCGACCAAAGCAGAGCAGGAAGATGCTCTGCTTTCCATGAAGGGCCTGGAAGCAGCCTATGCTTCCGTGGCAGCTGACAACAGCCAGAAAGATGGCTGTCAGCTCGAAGAATCTTGCAGCCAGCCTGCTGGGCAGAAGGCTCTAGAAGCCTGTGGTGCTGGGGGGTTGGGGTCTCAGATGATGTCTAGTGCAAAGGGTAAGGAAGTGACGACTGAAAAGTGCGCCATTCCAGCTGCCTCAGAAAAGGAGGGAGGAGCAGAGGCAGTGATGGAGGAAAAGAAAGTAGTACAAAAGGAAAAGAAGGTGGGAGGAGGAGTGAAAGAGGAGACAAGGCCCAGGGCCCGGAAGATAAATAACTGCATGGACTCTCTTGAGGCCATAGATCAAGAGCTGTCAAACGTAAATGCCCAGGCTGACAGGGCCTTCCTTCAGCTGGAGCGTAAGTTTGGCCGGATGCGAAGGCTCCATATGCAGCGAAGGAGTTTCATTATCCAGAATATCCCAGGTTTCTGGGTCACCGCCTTTCGAAACCACCCCCAACTGTCACCTATGATCAGTGGTCAAGATGAAGACATGATGAGGTATATGATCAATTTGGAGGTGGAAGAGCTTAAACACCCCAGGGCAGGCTGCAAATTCAAGTTCATCTTCCAGAGTAACCCTTACTTCAGAAATGAGGGTCTTGTCAAGGAATATGAACGCAGATCCTCTGGCCGGGTGGTGTCTCTTTCCACTCCAATCCGCTGGCATCGCGGCCAAGACCCCCAAGCTCATATCCACAGGAACCGGGAAGGGAATACCATCCCAAGTTTCTTCAACTGGTTCTCAGACCACAGCCTCCTAGAATTCGACAGGATTGCTGAGATTATTAAAGGGGAATTGTGGTCCAATCCCCTACAATATTACCTGATGGGTGAAGGACCCCGCAGAGGAATTCGAGGTCCAGCAAGGCAGCAAGTGGAGAGCCCCAGGTCTTTCAGGTTCCAGTCCGGCTAACTACTGCACTTGTGAGAAGCTCCTGCACAAGTTCCCTTACCACCTCCTCCTTGCTTGGCTAGCAGCATGCAATCTTCTGTCTGCTCTCTCTTCATTTTGGATTATTTTGTCCTTTGGTTCTTCTAAATCTTCAACAGTGAGTTGCAAGATTATCATTTAGATGCCTATGCTGTTCTTTTCTCTGGAGCTTCATGCCCTTTTGCATCCTGGTGACATGTTCCAAGTGCATGGCCTTCTACTGCATCTCTGCCAAGCACATGATGATGTAGATGGGTACCACCTTCCTTTGTATGGCTTGGGCCCTGTCTGGCCATGGTTTTCTCCCAGTTTAAGTAGTTCTCTACTACAAGAAAGCTTGACAAATCTTCACAGATAACTACCTGGCTTCACACTTTATGCTGTGTTCCTGTTACCCATGTACTTTCAGCAAGCTCTTTGAGTTTCACCACTGTAAGATGAAATTGATATCCCAAGGTATCAACCCAAACTGGACATTCCAGGCTACTACTAACTGGATCTCAGCTACCTTCCTGGACCTGCACCATCCACTCTGCTGCTTATCTGTCAGAACAAGCAGATGGTGGGTGACTGCTATGCATGACGAGGTAACAGATAAGAAGTGTTCTGTGTTCTTGGCCTTCCTGTACCATTGGTTAGTTGGCATCATTACCAACTACTGGTGAGTATGAAGGCCTGTGTTATAGCTCTTACCTTCTGGTTGAACTTTCCACAGACTACCATTGTCTGCCTCCCCCAAAACTATATGTGATCTTAAGGTCTCAGGCAGCACACACACAAAAAGTCCCTACCCCCTGCCCATTGATTGATTACCCATAAGCTCATTTGGATGTGAGTGACATTGCCCAAAGTAAGGGTGGAATGGTCCCTTCCAGCAGTTAGCCTTTCTGAGCCCAAGCCAACATACTACCCTTAATCTAGGCAACTTTAGTACACACCTTTTCTTTCTCCCTACCAGATCCACTTGTACATGAAAAATTTGCTAGGGTAAACACATTGGGGAAGAGGTTATTTCTGGAAAGTAGGGCTTGTTATACCTCTGTCTCCAGAACTTCTCCTTTCACCTTCATCCCTCCCCCCCCCGCCTCTCTCTCTCAAACAGATACAGCTCAGAAACAGAAAATAAAACTGGCAAAGCAGGCTTTTTAATTTGCACTTCTCAATTGATTTGCTCGAAAGAAAGGTAGCATAACAGTCTTCAGATCTCTTGTCCTTATTCCTCTACCCTTACTGCCTTTAAAGGAAGGTTTTGAGTTTCAAAGGGAAACCCATAGATTAATTGGTTACCTAACGGGCAGTACTCTTTTAGGCCAACATTGACATCCCTACCTATTTCTCCTAACCATTCTACTATAACCTGTGTGTTGTTTTGAGTTTTAATTTGAGAACCTTGGAGGAAAGAAGGGTCAAATTGATGGGCTCAGGACAGAACCTGAGTAGGATGTGAACTAAAGCAAGTAAAATTTAGTTTCACTTCCCTTTTATAAGGGTGCAGATTCCTTTTTGGGCCTTGGGCCATTTAGAAATATCCCATGGTAGCAATTTGTAGGTCATCCCATCCACTGTGCTATTGTATTATCTCCCTGACAGCTGATGGGCCTCTACCCTACTGCCTAACCTTCTTGGCTCTCAGTCCTCAGCTTTTGCATTTTCTTTCCTCCTTCTAGCTTAACAAATACGAGAGCAGTTTGCATCGTGAGATTCCAAGATCCCAAGGGACAAAGGGATATTAGGAGTCTGTCCAGATTTCCAGGACAAGTAGGAATCCAGTAAGTGGAACAGCATTGCTGTCAGAGCTCTCTTAGTTGTGAGGGTGTACTGGGTGGTGAGGATCATCAGCTCTCATTTCTTCCTTTTGGAATTGAAGGCCTTGCTCTAAGCTCTCTGAGGGTTTAGGAGGTCTAAAAACACACAGTGGGTAGGGTGCTCTAAGTTGGAGAAACTAAGTATAAGCCCAGAAGCAGAAATGAAACTGCTGTGGAATGGGGCTTAGAGAGGACCGTAAGACTAAAGCCCTGCAGGATGGTGGGGGTGGGGTGGGGTGTGTGTGGCCCTGAGGCACTTCTCAGGGTAGAGGTGGGAGAATCAGAAGAATTTGGGTAGTACTTAAGTAGGATACTTGGAGGAGAATTTCCCTTCAGTTTTTCTCAACTCCTTGAATTCACCAGTAGTTTTTTGTAAACAAAAATGCAAGTCTTGATGTTTTCTCTGTTAATCTAGGAGTGACCTTTATATATGTGGAAGATTAATGGTATATACTGTTTATTTCACTGTTTTTGAGTAAAATTAATTCCTTTCTCTATTTCAGCCTTCTGGCAAAATTAATGTTTACAGGCCTGCATTTTGCTTGTAATTGAGAACATGTGCAAAAAATATGACATTTGTGTCCTGTGTGGTATGAAAACTTCAGTGAATTATTAGCTTGTTCTGTTCTCTGTTCATATATAGCACTATTCTTAGAAATATAATTTGAATAATGCAATCTTTGAAAAGTCTGAAGATATTACAAACTGTTGCTATCTATGTCTCATGAAAGTAACTTAAAAAAATAACTGTTGTCTTGATATTTCATACCTAGTAATAATGTATTTGACATTTATGTTCTTACCTAGTGTAAGTATCAGTAGAATTGCCCTGTAAAACTAAATGAGAATCATTAGTACTTTTGTCTTGTGTGTTTGAAGGAAAAATAAGTCACTGCTGTTTCTTGTTTTCACTAAAAAAAAATTAAAAAAAGTTCTGTGTTGTCTACCTTAATAAAATATTGAGAACTCATTTAAGTTATCAAATGGTCACAGTACTATCATTCTAAAAGTTAATAAAACAAAACAAAACAAAACCCAGGCACCATTTGTTCCAAGATTTTTGCTTGAAAATTGGTAAATAAAAAGCCCAACTGCAACTGTAAACTCATGAATGTAATTTTTCCTGTATAACCAGTGCAGTTTTTAGTGTTAACTGGAGTACCAGATATTGATTTTTTTAAAAGAATTATTTAATTTAATTTGATATTATTTATTTTTCAGTTGACCAGAGAGAGACACAGAGAAAGAGAATGTGGAAAAGCAAGCCGCCAGGTCTGGAACTTGAACTCTGGTCAGCCATGTGGGAGTCCAGCACCTCAACCACCATGCACTTGCTGGCCCTACCATATATTGATTTTATCACTTAAAAGTTTCCAGTGGAAAATTATTCTCCATGCACCTCTTTGTTTACTACATTTATGTTAACTATGCCTTCCTTGATCTAATTCTCATTTTTTAAATACGTTTAAGATACATTTTTGGAAAAATTAATTATGTATTCTGTGAATGCTACTTAAATTTTGTGGTGCTTTAAAAATAATACCAAGGGCCAGCAGGTGCTCTGAAGGTTAAGATGCTGGATCCCACATGACCATCTGTGCATTTCCAGTCCCGGACCAGGCAGTTTGTAAGTCATGCCAGACATGTGTGCATGCATGCCCAAAATCCTGAGAGGAGATTGGAGAAGGGATTACAGCATGACCATCCCCCTGGATGGTGATTTCTCTCTTTCTTTCTCTCTCTCTCTGATGAGCACACGTGCCCTATAGCAAAAAACTCAAGAAACTAAAAACAGAAAGTACGACTGAAACAAAATGTCTAGAAACAAATGATATCAGATATCACAACTCACTAATCACTAATGATAGTTTTGCTGCTTGGCAGCTATTATTGAGGGTTTCGGGGTAAATACTTCTGCATTCTCTGTAACAGGACTATGGATGCTGCAAAGTATGCAAGTGAATAGCCAAGTATTTTTAGCCATGTAAGCAAAAATTTAACATAAATGGCCCCAAATATCTAAAGTGGTTAGACAAATATCTGTACAAACTTGACTTAGTGCAAGTCTTACTTAAAAGTTCTACTTACTGAGGTATAACTTTTTCTAGCCTGGAGAATTTTGAGTATTAGAAAACTAGGTAGTCTGTAAGCTCTACACCCATTTAATCCTAAATTACCCTAATAATGTTCATTTTACCTTTTCGGTTTAGTGATTGATTTCTGCATGGTCAAGCACCTGTTTTAAGCTTTATCCCTTTTCTATTCCTGTTCTGGACACAACCAGAAAAGGTCATGTTTTTTTATGCCCTTGGCTTATTATCAGCTTTAGTTTAACAAATAGTATTCATTCTTCTAATAGGCAGATATCACTCATTTATTACAGGTTAAACAGTTTCTGTTTTGTAAAGTCTAATTAGTCATTATATTAGACTCAGGCCCTTTGATTCACTCCTTTAGCCCTGCTCTATTTCTTTGCACTGTCTTGTTTTTCTTGATTCTAGACCTTATTTTTTGAAAAGGTTTTTGCCATAGGGCATGTGTGCTCACCAAAGAGAGACAGAGATGGAGAGAGATAAAGTGAGAAATCATTCCCTAGGGGTAGATGGCCATGCCAAAATTTCTCCTCCATTTTTCTCTTGGGATTTTGGGCATACACGCACATGCACCTGGTGTAATTCTCAAGCTGCTGGGTCCGGGACTTGAACTGTAATTAGCCATATGGGAGCCTAGTGTCCTTACCACTCTGCCACCTGCTGACCCCAACCTCAATTATTTTTGATGTAGACCTCCAAATCAGTTAGAGATTCCTTCATTTCTCTGGTCACCAAAAAGTTATCATTTTAGTCTGCTCAGGCCATATCGCCCTGTGAGTAGTAGTGAGTGACACACTTAGTAATTTCTTTGGTCCTCACATAACAGTGGCTTTCTTTTCTGTTTCTGCACATTTGGCTTAAGCTAGACACCATAAAATGTTCTCCAGACCTTTCTCACTCAGGCCCTTGTCTTTACCATTATCATTGCTGCTGCTGCCTTAAGCTTCCTTAAATCAGTATTCATCAATAAAACAATAAAAATTTTTTTTTTTTTTTAATTTGCCAGAGAGCACCTACACTTGAGAAAGTGAGAAAGCATCCCCCAGAGGGCATAGTCACATTGCAATCCCCTTTCCTCTGTCTCCCTCCTTTTGGGGTCTTGGGCTATCATGCACATGTACCTGACCTGTTCCTCAAGCTGTCCAGTCCAAGAACCCAAGAGTATGCCATGTGGGGTCCAGTTGGTGACCTTAACCACCAGGCCATGGACTGGCCCTCTGTACTATATAATTATTGAGTTCCTTGTGCTAAGGAGTCACAATTTGTTTCTTAGATATCTGATTTTTGCCTCAGTTATCTATTTCCTGACTTCATAATCTCTTCAAGAGATCTGACATATGTCAGGCATGTCCATGAGTACTCTCATATTACCTGAATAATCCTGTGACACAAGTTTTAGTTTCCATTTAAATACGGAAGTAAATTGCCTAAGTGCAAGTTACATAGGCTGTTATTTTTTTTTAATAAAGAATGATTTTATTGAACTTTATTTATTTCTTTGAATTTGACCAGAGGGAGAGTAAGAGAGAGAGAGAGAGGGAGACAGAAAGTGAGAAGGCAAGCCATGGGTCTGGGATTCAAACCATGGTAGGCCATGTGGGAGTCCAGTGCCCTTAACCACCATGCCACCTGCCAGTCCCCAATTAAAAAAAATAATTTGTTTAATTAAATTAATTAATTAATTAATTAATTTTTGACCAGAGAGGGAGGGAAAGTGAGAGAGCAAGCCACCAGGTCTGGGACTCGAACCATGGTTAACCTTGGGAGTCCAGCGCCTAAACTGCTGCATCAACTGCTGGCCCCAAATTTTCTAATTTCAAGCTAGCATAATTTTCACTATCACCTCCATTTGTACATTTGGTACTAAAATGTTAACAGTAACTTTACTTATTTATGAATTCAGTTGAAGGTTATTCCATTCATGAATGATATTTGAAATGATTTTCTCACTTGATTGGATTCCATCTTATTATAGATCAAAATTCCTTAGTTATGTTTGCTGCATATGAATGAAACTGTTCCCTTCACCAAAGGCAGCAAATGCATCAAAAAGACTTCAAACAGTATATAAGATTTAGTTACTAAGGACTGTTAACATTTTTACAATTTAGAGAAAGCATATTTTTAATCGATTTAATTTGATAATTGTTCTGAATTCATTTAGATAGTAATTATACCTTTTTTTCTTTATTCAATTTTGTTAAACTTTATTAATGTTTGACATTTATCAAGACAGTACCAAAGTACCAAGATTTTTTTTTTTAA